ACTGCTGCCATTTCCCTCTTTCCCAGTTTTCGCCATTCCGCTTCGCTTGGTCCTGCGGTGCCGCTGCTGCAAGACCTGCATGTCTGTTCCCTGCCACGGCCCCAGTAACAAACCTCACTTGGACCTTCCTTAGAGAAATACATCGTTTTGCTTCAAAGGACCTCTTGAAGGAACTCCTTACTATTTGTAAAGCAGATGCACTTAGAATCATAGACAGGTTTGAGTCGGAAGGGACCTTAAAGATCATCAAGTTCCAACCCCCCTGCCATGGGCAGGGACACCTTCCACTAGACCAGGTAGCTCACAGCCCCATCCAACCTGGCCTCGAACACTTTTCGCCATTCCGCTTCGCTTGGTCCTGCGGTGCCACTGCTGCAGGACCTGCATGTCTGTTCCCTGCCATGGCCCCAGTAACAAACCTCACTTGGACCTTCCTTAGAGAAATACATCGTTTTGTTTCAAAGGACCTCTTGAAGGAACTCCTTACTATTTGTAAAGCAGATGCACTTAGAATCATAGACAGGTTTGAGTCGGAAGGGACCTTAAAGATCATCAAGTTCCAACCCCCCTGCCATGGGCAGGGACACCTTCCACTAGACCAGGTAGCTCACAGCCCCATCCAACCTGGCCTCGAACACCTCCAGGGATGGGGCAGCCACAACGTCACTTGCTATGAGTCTTAACCTATGGGAGTGTTTGCTGTCTAGAAATTTTCAGATGATACACAAACATGAACACAATCCATTGGGATGGTACACAGCAGCAAGTGGCCAAACTCTTGGGTCTGTTATACCCTTTGCGTGCTTTCAGTTGGTGCTGGAATCACAGTGCTGCCTAGCTGCTGAAAGAGACTGGAATCAACCCTGAAGCCTTCATCGGGCAGAAAAATAATTCAAAAGGGAAGAAGAAAATTGTGACTGACAGAGAGACTCTCTCTTTCTGGCACAACAAGCACCCAGACCCAAGAGCTTGCAGACAGGAACAATGAGCCACAACCTTTAGGTTTTGGAGTATTTATTTTTGTATGATTTCATTTCAGACCATACACTGCAGGTCAGAATTAATCTCATATGTACAAAGGCTAACTTTGGTTCATTCCACTTCCCTGGAAATAAGTGCTAATATTTTGGTAGATAGTTACAGGATGAGACCCAGTCCCTGCCTCCCTCTCTGTCTGCCGTACAGCTGTTCCAAGGCTCATGCCGTCTGCCCGGGAGGTGCAGGCAAGAACAGGGAATGGCCTGGGCAGTGCTCGCCTAACAGCCAGGCACCCTGCAAAGGACAGAGCTGAAGTGTCTGTGGAGCCCCGGCAGCATCGACTGGCCAGGGGCGGTGGGGATGCTGCAAAGGCAGCAAGATAGCGGCACAGGAACAGTTGGGGGGGGGTTGCTGGTGTTTTTCTTTTTAAAGAAAAACCCCACAGTTTTAATTTAAGAATACTTTAAAAAAAAAAAAAAAAAAAAGAAAAAGAAAAACCCAAATATATTCTCCTTAAGTTAAAAACAGCCTGAATGTGTTGTTTGTCAAACTCCTGCTAACCTCTGGAATCATTCCAGGCTTCAAGTATCTGCTTGAAGCAGGCCCAGACAGAGCAAGCCAGAAGATGGCGAGTTAAATGTATACATTTTTTTAATTGCTGAAACCCAGAATCACTTTCTCGCCGAAGATTAAGTACAGATCCCTCGTTAGTCTACTGCCATGGCAGCACAGTGCCTAATGCTCAGCCAGGGCAGTCTGGAATGGGGATTTCAGATCCTTCCATTAAAAAAAGTATGGTAGAGCACAATGTAGAG